AATAAATTCTTTTTTCAACAGGCTTCTTTTTTCTTGTGGAAGTTTAAGGATGTTGCCTAAGTATACTTTGATTTTGTCCTCTGTTTCTTCTGAAATATTGGCTGCCATCACTTCTAGTCTATAGGTTCCTTTCTTTTTTATGAAATACAGATTTATTGATGGTGCCATGTCTCTATTCCTAGTAGTATAAGAGCTGTGTTCACTAATAAATTATCTTTTGACTGTTTTTTGGAGTTCCTGTAATTTCAACTCTTCTTTCTCTTGTGCACATGTCATTGTTACTTCATTGTCTTCTATAGATTCATTATCTATTTGTTCAATAATATCTATTGGTTGTTGCTCTGGTTTAGTATAGTTTACAGGATTTTTGATAATTTTCATAAGCTTGTCTTCGATATAGGGTTGTAGAAGATCTTCTTTTATCTCTTTACCTTGTTATCAAAGATATGTAATGTGCTGAGTTAAAATTCTTTTCTTGTGAAAGGTTGTCATGTCAACTTCTAATATCTTAGCTATGATACTATCTAAAATGGTATAGGTTTCTGGTGGTGATGCTATTGGTCCATTGGGTTCACTGTTTCTTAGTTGTAGTAGTTGTTGTGAGGCCCATAGGATAGAGTGTTTGTCGTATTTTCTTGAGAGGTTAACTAGAGTATTTATTATATCCTCTTCTCTCTTATTGACTATTTGTAATATATATTGTGCTCTATTCATGTTTACTGGCTCGAATCTATTGATAGATTATATGAATGCTTTTTGTATTTATTGATAGTCTATTTTTAGGTTGCGGATAAACTTTTCTGAGATTGTTGTTGTTGTTTATATATTTGATTAGGTAATACAGAAAAACTTTGTTTGTTGTTTAAATGTGTTTATTTGTTTATATTAATGATTCTAACCTACTTTTGAGAGTTGTTGTTGTACTTGTGTGGAGTGTCGATCAACTTGTTTAGATAACAAGTTGTACGTGTACGTATGTATTTTGCTTGTCACTTTTACGTGTATGCTTGTTTTGCCTATCTAGTTTTTACGTGTTTGCGTTTGTATGACAAGAAAAGAAATAGATATATTGTTTATGTGTGTATGTACATTTAGACTGTCTTGTCTTTAGGGAACTTTGATATCCTTCTAGGCCTTTGAGTAACTAGAGCAACTTGATTTATCGAGTGGAATTAGTTGCTTTTTGAGTTCCTTACAGTGTCAAGAAAGGTGTTAACCTGCGCTGGCCTGGCTGTAAGCTGTGTGAAGTTGATATTGGCTCTCTTTTTTTGACTATGAATAAGTTTACAGGTCTTTTTTCTTTTTCCTAAAAATTTTTTTAAGAAAAAGAAGTAAAAAAGTTAGTAAAACAGTGTATATATCTTTCCTTGATGTTTTTGGGCAACTTGTTATATGTGTGTTGAAAGTACATGGTAGCTTGATTCAAAGGATATGTTGTTTTCCTTGTGTATTTGAAATATTTCACTTTTTTCAAGAAAATTACCAAAAAAGGAAATTTTTGAAAAAAGGAGGATCAGCAGAAAGAGTAACTTTTTGTCTATAAATAGTATATTAAAAGGATTGACTAGTACTGTTCATAGAGTGGTACTTTGTTGTTTAACAGGGTGGCAGATGTGTTTCCAAAGGAGAGGTAATAGGTATCCAAAACTCTTCCAAAAGGATCCTATTCCATAAGGTCGTTTACTTTTGATTTAAGTTCACTGGAGTAGGAGAGGAGAAATGGGAAGTTGTTGTTTTCTATCTAATATGTCCTAATCCAATATTGTTCTTTTTGTGTAGCCAATGACACCATAGGTATTCATGTTCTGTATCCATTCACACCACAGATAAATGACTTATAGTGGACCCTAGATTCTTATAGGTACCGAGGAAATGCATTCAGACATATGAAGTGACCAATGGGAGCTTGTTTACATTCCTTTATTGACATGTTTCCTGCCAACCAATCACTGCTTGAGAAATTTTGTACTACTTAAAATTCAGGGTCAAACTGAGGTAGACAAAATTTCCCAGAAAAACCACAAAAGAGCACTCTTAGAGCAAGTACATGACAAGAGAGTGGGTGGTTACCTTCAAGATAAGTCTCTCATCACCAGATAAGCTCTGTAATATTTCTCTAGTAAGTAGGTAGATAACAGCACTTCAGTTCTTTTTTCTTTCAGAATTTTCTTGCTATTGGTAGAAAAAGTATATTCATGACTTTTGTCACTGAAAGTCAGGTTTTTGTTTGAAGAAGATTGTTTACAAGAGGAAGAGGAAGGTAAAGATGACTCTTGAAGAGTTCCTTCAAGTTGGTTTAAGGAAAGTTATAAGACTTTATTAGCCAAGAAATATAAAAATTTCTTGTGAACATCTTTTTTGTGTGTGGTTAGAGGACCAGCGGAAAGAGTTTTGTTTTTATAATAAAAATAAATAATTGAATAAAAAAATACTATATGTAAACTGAATATTAAAAAATATTTAAAATTAGAATTGAACATTAACAAATGGTTATAAGTTACATAAATATCATTCGTATATATTTTATGCAAATAAAGTAAGACCAAGTCAACAATATCACAAAAAATTGTTTATTACTGAACTTATTGTATGAACCATTATTTTTATCTCTTTAATTACATACTGTAAGTCGCAAATGATTATAAAAATATTTAATAAAGATATTAATCATGCAAATCATAAAATAAACAATATAATGGTGATACAGTATACTGGATATTTCTGAATATCTGGAATTTAAATATGTCAAAGTAAAATGATCTCACTGATAATCAATAAAAAGCGCTCTGTTTAAAAAAATTTTTAAATTCCAAGGGTCACAAACTTAGATAATCGTTACCTAAAGAATAAATAAGTTTTTCAATTGGGATATAATCTTACTCGCGTTTATTGCAGTATGTTAATTGTAAAAGTAAATGATTTATTTCCTTAGGTATACTGTACATGATAAAGTAAATGATTTATTTCCTTAGATATACTGAACTGTACATGGTAAAGTAAATAATTTATTTCCTTGGATATACTGTACATGGTATATATTCTATATCTATCAATGTCAATATCATGGTAATAATGATATTCGTGTTCTATATTTAAACATACGATGAAATTTTAATATTTTACCTAAGAAATTTCTTTTTGCTTTAGTTTCAAATTACATTTTCGTCCTCTTTCGACCTACCGCCTTCAACATCAAAATGACTAAATAACCAATACATGAGACACCCGGCAACAAACGCCACAACTCCTAATGATAAATACAGAATCACGAGATAAGGGTCTTTGGAAAATGGCACAACTCCAAATCCTGAAACATGATGAAAAAATAAAGGTAAGACAACCAGATTATTCACTTAAACAATCTATCAATAATATTACCCAAAACATTCCCAAATCCGACTGTTGTTAAATAAATGGCGGTTAATGTGGATTCCAATGCATCGGGTGCCTAATATCAAATAAGCGCCTAGAGTTTCGAATCAGTTGTCAACGTTAAAATTTGTAAAGAAAAAGGAGGGGAAGTGGATATACCATGTGGTATGCATAGTCTAGAGCTGTAATGCTTAACAGTACTGCATATTCAACCGAATCACGTGGGTTAGACCAAATTAATTTTTAAATACGCGAATAATATAGAAGAGCTCGCCTTCTGAGATTCCGATCAAGATATAGATTGGAGTTTGCACCCACACGGAAATCAATTTTGGTGAGGTATAATAAATAGTATGCTGAACATATGCCGAGTAAAACATGGCGGCGGAAACAAACATGAACCCAAGAAAAAATCTGGTCAAGTATCCAAACCTCACACCATATCTCTGTAATGTTGGATACCTATTTTAGAGAGGAATCCAAAGTGAAATTAGATCTAAAACGCGTAAAATTGAAAATTTACGATTGTAATTAGGGTGCTCACAGAACGTTGTTGGCCAAAGGTGTCAATATAATTAAAGTTAGGGTGTCAATATTGTACATTATATCGTTTGGTATGGCTCCTACTTCCATAGTAGCGGCTTGCGATATTAAATTGTTATAAATCTGCGCGTAGCAAACCCAATAGAATGGAAAAAATGAGAAAACTTTGATGGCCCGTAACCCAATTTTACATTGTTCCACAAATTCATCACTCCACGTAATTCTTTTCTTTTTTAATTCTTCTTCAGTCATATTCGAGGGCTTTGCGCTCTCGAAGTTTTTGTGTACGAGAGCTATCCAAAGCACACGAAAAAAGTCAAATATTGCCGAACCTTTTGGTGGCTTCTTGACATAATTATTACGGCCAATGAATATAATTGTAACCGCGACAACAAATACTAAGAGAGGTATTAGATAGGCCAACCAGAATGAATGATATTTTTCGATATTTGTTGTGAGAACGACCGAAAGAGAACCAATGTTGATTGCCAAGTAATAATAGTGGAAGATCGACTGCAAGGTAATTTTTGGATCGACAATTACTCGTTCGCCGGAACTTAAAGTTCTGATGAATGCTTTTGTCTTTGTATATTGATCGGCAGACATCGGTGACACGTTCGGCTTGATCCCTCCTGTTCCCAGTCCAATTATCACCATGGCTACTAACAATCCAGGTAAAGAAAATTTTGCTTCTATGGCAGGAGGAATCGCCGTCAATGTTAAAACGATCAATCCGATCATGTAGACCAAAGAAAATATTACGATTGTACTATATCTTCCAAGATACTTGTCGGCCACAACAGCTCCTAAAATTGGTGTCGTATAACAGAAGAATTGAAAAAATAGAGATAATGATGTCGCCACTTGTTGTCCCGCTCCAATTGCTCCCGGTTGACTTTGACCCTCTGTCGGCACTGGAAATTGTATGTAGTTCTGGAATGGTCCGGAGACGCCGTAATAGGTAAATCGTTCACAGAGCTCACAAGTTATTATAAACCATACAACTAAAGGATTTGCAAGTTACTTTAGCAGGTTATCATTATGAACGACAAGCGTATTAATGTCCAAATACGAAAACGCGGTCCTACCGACAGGAATATTGTCTGAAACTACGCGAAGATCATTCCAATCCTGTAGTGTCGGAAAAACCTCTCTAGTATCAATTTCATCCTTGACTTTTAATTCTCCTTTCTCATTCTTATCCATCTTCAAGGATTTCTGTTTCAGAAACAACCTCCAATATTTCACAGGATTTGCTTATTCAATCATGAATATTGCCGCCTGTGGTAACTACTTTTAAACACAGCCAACAAAATGAAAATCTTGCACAGCCATTAGCACAGCCATGGCTACATACTGCATGTACGTAAAATGTGCATAGGAGGTTGATATTTCCAAATGGTCTACATTTAGGCAAGAACGCGAAAACGCATTGCCACTCGAAACACGGTTAAGAACACCTGATCACAGAATTTGAACTCGAATGGTTTCATTGATCAGTACCGACGTTTCTTTCAACTATACGTACTTTATCGAACACTATCAGTAAAATCAATGAGTTATTTATGTGCCATGGTTCTCTGTGGAAATGTACGGATAAAGGTAAGGTACACGTAAGGTGTAAAAATATTTTGAGATCGATGCAACAATTAATTATCTAGTGAAAAAGGATTAATAGAAAAGGTGTAAGAAGAATGCGAGTTTCGTAGAACTAAATAAGACCATCTTTCCCATTTCGGGACTGTGGCGTTTCACGAAACTTTGTTGACAACCCATTTTATACGATTGGGTTTTGGGTCTTACTGGTAATTTTTCTTCGCTATTACTATTTTCAATGTTTTTTACTCCAGGGCTTATTGTTGTTTTTCGTCAATGGTACGTACTAAAGGATGTGCAATTTTTGATATTGGAATCTCGATTGATGACACATTTACTTTATATTCACGTAACGCTCGATCTCGTCTTTTCCTCCCTCGGAATAAATAGAAACAAAAAAAAAAAAATTAAATTAAATTAAATTAAATTAAATTAAATATGCAGTGTTTATATCTCTAATTTGCATAGAACAACAATAATTTATATGTCTCGAATGATGATATCGTAATGACAATAAATAATAATAATAATAATTTATTATTTTAATAAACGAAACCTTGCTATATTAAAAGGTAAAGCGTTTAAGATCAATTAAACCGCATAGTCTTATCAAATACATATCGATATTTTCTGAGCTCTCATATTATCGAATTTGTTCAGGATATGGTCACAACGACCGTTTGTGTAACATCGCACTGTTTCTAACTATGGTGTATTTAGCATTTACCGTGCAGCATTCTTTATCGTGCAGATGAATTTCGCCAGAATAACGAATTTGGCCACCACAAATCGCGTAACAACATGTTTCGATTATGCATTATGATCACACGTTATCAAATATTAAAATCATCCGTCTATCGGAAGAGAATTCCCTTATACGAAAACGCTAATTATTCAAAAAAATTATGATCTTCGGGGTAGAATGTCCGTTATCGTATTCTTTCATGAAATTATATTGCACGCGGTTATAGCACACGGATAATACAGTATCTACAGTATGTATATTATATAATAAGAACGCCAATTCAGTCGCCAAAATCCGAAAAACACAGTGTATAATTAATCCCATGATTGCTTATCATCATTACGCGTAATAAAATGCATGATTGTTTATCCATTGACGACACAAATCGTAAATACACAATTTCGAATTAATGAACTTGATTAAATTCCTGCGCGAAAATAACAATAGAATCATCGAGTTGAATGTCGAAAAACCACCAACTAGGAGACTTGATAGGGATCAAACTCGCTAAAGCTCTACGTGAGAGTAAAGTCCTCATCAATATAATCCTGAAAAATAACAGAATAGGTGGATTGGTGGGGAAATGGTTTACCAATGCTCTACGATATAACGGCGAACTCTAAAATTTAGACCTAGGATATAACAATCTTGGCAACTGTGCCGGGAAAGATCTGATCAAGACTTTGTGCGAAAATACAAATCCAGCTTTGAACAATTTAATCCTTGAGAGTAATAATCTAGATAGTTCAGTAGGAAAGGGAATAGCCAAAACTTTAAAATAGCGAAATTGATCAATTCGAATCTACATGGGGGTGCAAACTAGGAGATATGTCAGGCGGAAATAATCAATGCTTTATTTGTGATGAAAATTTGATTGATTCTGACGCACATTGTGTATTAATTAAAAGAAAAGGGTTGTATCCAAAAAAGGTTTTGCAGCATGTAATGTACACGATACCTTAATACAATAGGTATAAGCTAGCGAATACGTAATCGTATTTTTATATTCTTTCTTTTATTAATATCATTAACAAATTTAACCCTATTATTACAAAACTTAACTTATACTGTACATTTATTTACTATACACTTGAATAAAAATACAAGGCGCTGACTGCCTATATTACATAGCGGTTGTTGGTTATTGGATATTAAAAATAAAATCTGTTGTCTGAATTTTCCTCGTTTACATTATGTATACGTATCTGGTATAATGAAGTTATTATAATCGTCGTCCGAGATTTCCATTTTTGGAGAAGCTATTTAAAAAATTTGAGGTTCGAGGTACTGTAAGTAAATGAGGTAACAATTGCACGAGTTTCGGGTAATACGTGATAAGAGAATTTATTGAACTCACCTGAAACTACGCTATAATTCACACTATATTGATTATAATTCTGGTGCAAAATCTGTGGTTGCGGTTCCTTCAACCGATATTCCTCACCCCGTTCAAACTCCTTAGCGATCCCTGAACCAGGAGCATATAAACATTGATTTAACCAAACTCCTATAGCGACGTAGAGTTCGTCTGCGCTAGGTCTCTTCTCTCTATTTTCATTCCAACATCTCTGCATCAAATTCGCGTATAATTTTGGGGTGCCTGGAATTATATCAGGTCGTTCTCCCGAACAAATTCTTAACGCCAAATAAACGTCATGCTCCAAATGGCCAAATGCCTTTGCTCCAGAAGTTATTTCCCACATCAACATTCCAAAACTGTATACATCAGCCGCTTTAGTGTACGGCTCTCCACGAAGAACCTCTGGTGCAATGTAAGGCAAAACTCCATAAACTGATTCGCCTTGTTTCTTTGGTAAGGTCGCCAGTCCCAAATCACCAATTACACATTTACGATCGCCATATATGTTTTTCAAGCACATCACATTTCCACTATGCAAGTCACGATGTACGAGATCAGATCGATGAATTTGGAGGAGACCGATGGCGATGTCATGAAGGATATCAAGTCTTCTGAGGTAAGTGAGGGATGAGAAATGAGATTTAAGATAGTTCCCGAGGTCTCCTTCGTCGGCCAATATCATTACCATTATGTATGTTTTGGATTCGGGATTATAGCTCATACCGAAGGTGCGCAAAGTATTAACGCGTCCTAACACCTTATTGATGGCTTCTAAATGGTGCCGAAGCTAATTTATTTCAGAGTTGAGAATAAATAATTTACACAACGTTAAAATAAATGGACCAGCTAAACAATAATAAAAGCATATTAACTTCGTTTACCTCTTGAAACAAATCCGCAGTGACATTCTCTTCTCTTAGTTTAACTATACTCTTTAAAGCCACTTTGACATTTGGATATCGTTCCCAAGTTAACTTGACCGCATCCCACTTTGTTCTAGGTCCATCAATCCACGTTGCTGAGAACACCTCCCCGAATCCACCACTACCGATATGTTCGATATCGATTAACTTGTCGTAGGGTATCCATTCTAAAAAGTTGAATTTTGTTGTTGCTAAAAGTTGAGTCCCCCGGAGAAAATCGTCAACGTGCTTATTACCGCTTGTCCAATTTGGAAAGTTTGATTGGAAGAACTGCTTTTCGCATGGTTGACACCATTCTTCGTCAATCATTTGGCCTTTACATTTACGACAAATATATTTCCTACAATTCTCATTCAGTTCTAAAGGAATTGTTTCATAATGGTTCTGCATCTCTGAACTCTCTTCTTTACCAACTACCTGAAGCCTCCTGTGACTTTGTTCAAATTTGAAAATTTTAATGGATAATTCAAAATTTTAATTTTTTTTAATTTCGCCAATAATTATGAAAATGTTAAATTTTTATTTTTTGTAAGTTTTAAAAATTTAAAAAAAAATTTTTTTTTTTATAATTCCTCAACTTTTATTTTTTTTTATTTCGATGGTTTTTAAAAAAGTTTTGATTTCACCATTTTAAAAAATTTCGAATTTACTTTATATAATGTATACATATACTGTACATTTATTTAAAGAAATTTAAAACCTTTTTTTTTTTCAACTCGACAAATCCCTAATATATCTGATATAAATCCAAAATATTTTTTAAAAATCTTTCTTAATTTTAATATTTTAAATTAACGAATTTTTTTAATAGATACTATTTCCCTCAGAAAAGGTTAAATATAGAAATTTTTAAATTGAAATATCTATCACACAAATCTTTTGAGAACAAGACTAGGGTTAACTTATTACGTAGAGTCAATATTTTAACACAATGTTAAATCCAGCGAATCATATCACAGTCTGGTAATTTGTGCAGACTCGACCAATTGAATGGATATTGATTAAAAAATTGTGATTGCGATAAATAAAGAGTATTATTTTTTTAAAAAATTTTTAATAACAATAATAATTAATTCCATGAATATTTACATAATGTTTATACAGTACGTAATTACGTAATTGACAATAGATTCACCTATGAAATTTATGCTTGATTATATTTTAGATAAAAGAATTTCTGTTTCAATTAAGAATTTTCTGTGGTCTCGCGTATCTTTTCCTTAAAAAGATGTTTGAATTTTTATTTTGTTACTTTGTTTGACTTTTTTATAGTGTATGGATATCCACAAGCATGTCGACTGTAAAATACTACATATCATTGTATTTTTTTTTAATGAACTGCATTGCACTACGTGCATGCAAATAATGATACACCGTTAATTCAAAAAGCAAGACAAAAAAAAAAAAAAAAAAAAAAAAAAAAAAAAAAAAAAACGTACAAGACAAGGAATTGCCGGAATCGCGGTTGAAAAAAAAAATTAAATCCGACATCCGGGGGACAAAAACGACATTATTT